CCTGCCGCAAAATCATTAGCATGGGAAAATATGCCCGAGCAAAACAAAGACACGATCGTCTTTCGGTCTTCAGAAAAGAAACAGCGCAGAGCAAAGATAGCAACCAGCGCTCGGTACTTTTGTCGTACTTTGAAGCATTAAAACGAAATGATCGAGCCGACAAATAATAAAAATCACTGTAGGTAGTTAGTAGGTACGCCGGTTAAAGTGGTGTGTGGGGTTTAGGTTGCCCGTGACCGAATGATTTCGTTCCGAAAACAAGGATTTTCGAACTCGATCGAAAATTAATACTTACTATGGAAATTTAGAAACTTACAAAACTTAAAATAAAGTAACAAAATAATAGTCAAGAAAATGATTGTTATTAATAACTAATACCTAGAAAATAGTAGCTCTAAATAGATTTTCAGTTGCTAATCCTGACTAATACAAATGCGAATGTGAGTTTGTTTATTACTATTTCACGCCTTAACTACTCAATCGATTATCATGAAATTATGTAGACACATTGTCAGGGCTACAAGAAAGGTTATAGACCACCTTTTATAAAACAAAAATACTGTTCCCGAGAAGATTTATGTGGTCGTTGGAGATCTTTGACACATGTTTAGGACATCAACGTAAGCGAAGCCGCGTGTAAAACCTACTTACGGATTGATAAACAGCAATTTATTAGGTAAATTTCCAAAAATGAAACTTTTAAAATATCGAAAGAAACTTTTGCTGTAGCTATAGGTAGGTATTCGAACCATTGGGGCCTTGTATCTTACAACCAGAGCCGCATGTGTATACTTATAAAACGTTGCATAGAGGTGGGTAAGGTGCAGGTGTATAGTCATTCCAGCACGGAGGCATATAATTACACGGAAAGATTCCCTAATAAATCTTGGCGATATTTTCTCGTTCGCGAAACACGCGCAATATACGAAATAAAGCGTAGATATCAGATATAAAAAAAATGAAGGGCGAGAGGGGGCAAGGAACGTTTCGCGTAATAAATCAAGAGCGCAGCGCGTATGCAAAACACCGCAATGTTTTGCTTGGTAAAGAAGGCGTAACATGTGTATTAAAGCACGTCGAGGAAGAATTATTGTTCGGGTTCGAAACGTGCGACTCGCACAATAAATCGCGGCCCTCTCGATCACACATGATGTCGGTCCCGTGGTTGCTTCATATTTAATTGCATTATAATAGTTCTCAACCACGTTTAAGGAGAAGAATAAGAATAAGAAGAAAAAGAAGAAGAAGAAGAAGAAACGAAGGTAGAAGACTTTAACTCGGCTGGCCGCATAACACAACGCGCATAGTCCATAGACAACAAAGTAGAGATGATCATCAATAATATATGGCCTGCTGCTTTTAATTTTCCCTTCAAGGAAAGGGGTTTCCTCTCTTCGCGCTTATCACCTGTAAAAGAACTCCGAACCGTGTATCTCTACCAGCCCAATAAGTACATACACACATTACGTATATTTATCTATCCAATTATTATTATTAATACGTAACTATCAGGGGCGTACGCAGGATTTTCGTTCGGGAAAGGGGCCTGAATGTTATCTAACTGTAAATTTATCCTTTATAAAATGTGTGTACATATTGTGTATAAAATGCTAACACACATCAATGTGTCTGTTTTCAATTAGAATTAACCATTTTTTTTCATTCAGTCTGGTAAAAAAATCTCCTTTATTTCCGACTGTCCTAAAAGGCACGCTTTCTCTTTTCAAGCCCTTATCATAAACTATATCCCTTATAAACTCACCATTCTTTGCTGTCACTACCCTCTACATATTTCTACAAATAATTTTACGACTTATTATAGTATGTTTTTCATCTTTAAAGTGATCCTTCGATCCTTCCCTACCATTTGTATCTGTTATAATGTTACTTCTTGCTTAGGGTATTTTTTTAATTTCGAGTGGGGGTGGGGAGATAATCCAATAACCCCCTAGGTACACGTCTGGTAACTATGTTAGGTTATAGGCTACCAAGTGGCACAAGGAATTAGAAACTTGTAAATCATACAATATAACAGTTCCTTTGAAATACAAGAAAAACGGTAAAAGAAATTAACATTCAAACATTTCTTGAACCAGAAATATGGTATTGTAATACAATTCACCAACTTTTAAAGTCTCTTCGAAAGTTTGACCTCATATCATTAATTATAGCAGTCAAGTGCTTCTATAAGCATTGAGGACATATCTAGAAATGTTGCAATGTCTGGAGCAACCCTACTTTTTGACAAATCTAATACATCAGTCGGGAATAGTACAGTTTCCTAATAAGTATGTCACTGAATAAATTTTCAGAATCTGTTCAACAGTTCTCAAAATAAAAATAGAAAGAAAAATTCACATTCTATTTGTAATATTCCTAAATCACCACCTACTGATGGAGTTAACCATTTGATGAAACATTTTTAATAGAATTTAGTATAATGAAGACTTCTTTGTCTATAGTTTTCGTATTTATAGTTGAGCCCCTGAAATTTTCCGAAAAATATTTATGATTTACTGGAAAATATTGAGATATGTAAATACCAAATTTTGGGCGATTTTTGATGAGAAAAATTGTTATGACAGGTGGTCGCCTGTCTGATCCTTTAATGGTTTCGATTTCCTTTTTAATCATGGAACCCTAAAATGTAATTTGAATGTGACGATATGAGCATTTATAGAACCCAATCATGCCAAATATGTACGTACGAGAACTGATAATTTTTATGAGCACTGATTAAAATTTTTATGAGTTAATCTCCCTGGCTTAATCTGTATTCATTCAATAGGTACGTGCTAGGCTGGATCATTTGCATTCCTTATGATGATACGAGATCTGTCCAAAAAGTATCCGACCTATCTTCACATTATCATCCTTCAAATTGTCTCCATTTGATTAAATAGCATGCCCTCAACTATTTTTTCACTTTCTGAAGCAGTCCTGGAAGTCAGGTTTTGAAATAAGTCTTCTCCAATTGTCCTTTAAGCGGTTTCTCCAAATTCGGGAATTATCAAAAGTCATAGGGGGCTATGTCGGAGGTGTATGGGTCGGCGAAGGAGTGTGATATTGTGCTCAGCTAAAAACTGCTGCACAAGACTTGATGAGTACGCTGGCGGATTATCGTGATGGAGAAGCCAGTCACCGCTCGACCTTTCACCGCATCATGCAATCGTTTCGACGCAGTATTCCTTATTAATCGTCTAATCTATCGGTGCTTGTTGGTGGTGTACAACACCTTCATGATAAAAAAAAATTCAGCATTGGCTTGATATTGCTCTGACTTTGACGTGCTTTTTTCGGTCATGATTCAGACGAGAGCATCCACTGTGAAGATTGTTGTGTAGTTTTGCCGAATTTGAAGCAAAATCCGACAAACGCAAAAAAGGCTTTGTAAAGAAATACACGCTACGCATAAACTATACGTCCTGTGTCAAGACGCAACTGATAAGCTTGTCAGGCTTTACTGTTGGTGTTCAAGCCCCGCAAAGGTCGCTCGAACACTCGCGAAGATTTAAAAGCAGGTCGGTTACTTTTCGGACAGACCTCGTATGTATGTTATTTTTATCCTAGCAAAACGATTCGGTAGGTATCCATAAATACCAATTAATATTATGGTATGCTGTTGGTAGTTAAACAGTCTCAAATTGGAATACCAATTACCAACGATTGACGCTATTTAAGACAACCTACCAGGCAATATTCTGAACCAATTACAGGCGTGACAATCACACAAATAAGAAACAATCAATTTGAGAATGCGAAATCAACGTTTACTTCTTCCTTTTACGTACCAGTCTCCTAAGATAGTGTTAAAATACTATCTCCACCATTACCTACTAACTCCTACATAAAATTGAAAGTTTGTTAGATAGGCATACCCAAAGATACAGATATAGAAAGTTAATTACTGTTGGTGTCTGTGTCTTATGCAAACCTGACTGAACTACAAAGAGGTAGACGTAAGAAACGTGTCCTTTTTTGTAATTAAATATTTCGCACATCAGCGAAAATGTGTAGCAAAATTTTTATTTCCAAATATTCCAAAAAGTTAGCAATAGGTGAACTGAAGTATATTGCAAAATTCGACCCGTAATGTCGCCAAAATTAATAGCCATTACAAAAATTATTTTTCTTGTCTATAACATCAGAGTATGTACTGACTATATTCCCCACCGAGCGGCATGGCCTAGTGATTTAGACCATTGCTTAGCATTCGGGAGGACGCCGGTTCGATTCCGGGTCCGTCTGCCTTGATCCAAGTTTTTCTGTGGTTTCCTTGGATCACTTAGGCAAATGCTGAGGCAATAATATTCCATAGATAATCTTTCATTCTGTTCTGTCTTCATTTCGTTCGTCTCATCTTTCTCACCCGAACCACCACCCACCCATTCCCACGACTCCTAAAAGCAGGCTGAAGAGGGCCTTCCGCCCTACCTTCCGGCGTAGTCTGGAGGGACTGCCCGCCCACCAGCATTACTGGCAGGTGGGAATGAAACACCCAAAAGTTTTTTTTTTTAAGTTTTTTTTCCCTTGTTAATTTTCCTTATAAAATACTTAAAAGTTTAAGGTTTCTTCAATAATAATTTAATAATTAAATGAAGAGTTGAATTTATTCAATGCACTTTGATGCAGACTTCAAAGAGAAATGGATCAACACTAAAAAAATATTTCAACTTTTCATCAAATACGCCGAAGAAAACCTTTTATTGATTACAAAACCACAGTCCCGAATTATTATTTGGGATAGTTTTCAACATCTGAGGCAAAACGTCGATGTGGTTTTTTAATCAATAAACAACCCTTACAGCTCTGATTTCTGCTTATTGTTGTTAAAAGAGAAGAAATCGCATGTAAGTCCGTTTTAAGGTTGGTAATGTTAAAATGAATAATTTTAAAGTGCTGAGGTTTAATTGTATGATTATCTAACAATGTTAATTACATATTCCTCTCTTTTATGAATTAAGAACGAATAGTTATTAATTATTGTTTAATTGTTTCAGAACTCTGTGATTCACCTACTAGCATCGAAAAGCAGTACGGTAAGTCCTTTAAACATATCTGTATCATTATTAATTTTGTTTGTCATAAACTGCAACAGATTAGCGGTGTAAAAAAGAAAATATCGGTATTTTATTGGAGGGGTAATAATTGACATAAAATGCATTTTTAAATTTCTAATATTCATTAAGTTGGTAAGGTTCACAAAGTAAAAAACGAGCAGTAAATTTTATTGGGGTCTTTTTCGTATTTTCTAATCGAGCAACCCGGTAAAGCTGCGGCTCTGCCGTTTTTTTTACAACTGCTCATAAACTCAGTTCGCAAAAACCGTTATCCGCCTTAAACGTCCGTTTTTAAATTATTTGCCATCAATAAACTTCTTTTCCTTTAATAAACCGTTTAGTACAATGTACGAGGGCCGATCACCCTCCCGAATGACGACACGACCTTGTCTCGGTCGGCGGGGTTAAAAAAATGTTCCTAAAAAGAAAGTTAAATTTCGCCCTTCAAGTGCGTTAAAATGCTCTTGTGTTTAGAATTCCGGACCCTTGATTTCTTAGGGTGGCAACAGGTTAAAATGCCCTTTCACGTTATAGACTAGCTCATGGGGATTCTACCCCCTCGAATCTTACACGTGTTATGGGTATTTCATATCGTTATATATCATACTGGCACATGCTTTTTATGATCTAATCTTTATTTTAGTAATAAGCTTCATTTTCAATTATGTCGCACAACAGCAACACGTGCTTTCAAATAAATCGGACTATATTTGTAACACTGTAGATTTATCTATTTTTGAAATTGTTATTAAAATTATAATAAAAAAATATGAAATATTCTGAAAATTCATTTTTGAATTTTTTACCCACTACACGCTACCTCAAATTAATGAGGGAAAAAATTATTTCATGTTAAACTAACTCACTTCGAAAAGATGTCTAAAATTGTATGTATGTTTAATCATAGTATATTCAGTATATATAGTCACATTAGTACGACGGATCGGTTGGTCGTGGTTGCTGTTGTCACCTCTAGTAGTTTAGTGGTCAGAACATTGGCGCGTAAAGCCATAAGTCCCGGGTTCGATTCCCGGCGGGGGTGTGACAACAACAACAAATTTTCCCTCAATAATTTGAGGTAGCGTGTAGTGGGTAAAAAAATCAAAAATGAATTTTCAGAATAATATTTCATATTAAACTAACTCACTTCGAAAAGATGTCTAAAATATTTATGTATGTTTAATAAAAAAATGTTGAAATATACTGCTATCCAAAAGGCTCTTCCAATTAGGTAGTTTGAAAACTGTTAACGTGTAATTCTGTTTGGCGCCATATCTTAGATTTAGACTATTGTCAAGAGTAAAGCAAAAGACAGAAGAAGAAGAATTGATAAATATAATACTACCCTGTCTCCCAGTGTCTTCGTCTTATATGAGAATGCCAAAAACGTAACCTTCTCGCACTGATCGTGCGGTGCAGGTAGAAAATCTTTTAAGGCTCTACTCATTAGGTGCGGTCCATCAGGTAAAATAAAAGAAACGTTGTATATTTTTGCGGTATCGGATGCGAAATCAAAAGTTTTTTATGAGGGTGTTTCGGTTTCAACAGGAAGAGCTGATTTTTATGGCCGGGCGTGAAACATAGTTGTTAATAAATACTGATTCGCTCATATAAAATGTAATTTCAGGGGGTGATTGTAATGACAAGGTATCAACTTCTTAATTTTTTTGTAAATTATAAACGTACATGCTTAGACACCGAATCTTTGAAACAATTAAATCATCATATATCTATGTAATTATTATATGATTATGTAATCTACGTTTTGATGAACTTTTTTCTTAAGTTTTAGATGTAGGTATAATTTATTATTTAATTGCTAAAAAGCTAAGTTAAGTTGGTGCAGCTATCTCCTCTTATAATTCAATATTCTGGAATTAACTGAGTATGGAAGCGTGTAATTAATACTTATATGAAAGGAGTCCTTAGGAAGAATACTTAAGAAATTCTGGATATTATGATTTATTGAAGAACTTTTAATTTAAAAACTGTAATTTGACGTATTCGAAGTGGAACTGAAAAATTGCAGTAGAATTAGTTATTCATTGGAGTATTAATTGAGGAAGGATTTGCAGTATATTATGGTTTAGGGGGTCACCAGTTATAAATAGGTGTCTTATGGATTTTAAATTTTTATAAAAAAGTAAGAAAAAGTCAAAAAATTCGTACTTCATCTCGTATATGGAAAGTGTGAGTCTAAATCATGAAAATATTATAAATTCAGCTTTAAGAATNAGAGGTCCGTATGCATGAAGGGTTAGTTGTACGTGTTAGTAGCAGAAACATAGTTAATAGTTAAGGATGTGGGATGTTTTAGCTTTAGGGAAAGCGAAGGGTAAGAAACAATTCATGAAGCATGCATTTATCTAATTCAATGAAAACATGTAGTACTTAAGTGGAGTTCTGAACGACAAAACATATAGTTACACGTATATGTACATACATAGATAAAATATGAAAATATTTGTTTAAACATTAAAGTTTTTGGATCACCTTTAGCTTACTACCATGCTGTTCTAAAATTTATATTTGTTAATGGAAGTTATCCTGATCAATGTTTTTTCTTCGGGGACACATCCAGGAGCCTGCCCTGGAGAAATTTGAGGCTGCCTTTGTAGGTAGCTTTATGTTGCTGAGGATTTCAAAATTATATAGTTTAAGTGAGACATTCATTACTTCCTAAGAATCTCATGTGGATTTCGGATTTTCTTCGTGCAAAAACGATCAAGAATTAATACTAACAATAATAATAATGTGCTCACCTTTATGTAATAGATACCTACTTCAAACAAAATTAGCGAAAATGTTGCAGAATATGTAGATTTGTAGATGCAATAAATGTGATAAAAAAACGGCTCTAATTTTATAACTGAGATAGATTTCAAGTTTTTATGCTAAACAGTTTCCCAGAACAAAAGTTGAGACAGCCAAATGTATCTTTGAAGTGATATAATGCTTTTTACTCGTCCTCTGTCTACTTGTTTATGTTTTCCGCTAATATTTATTTTGCTAGATTTTTCACATAGTTCAATTTCTGTTTGGCCGATTTCATTAAAACAAAATATAAAGTTTATAGAAAAAGTGTGAGTCTAAATCATGAAAATATTATAAATTCAGCTTTAAGAATGCGATTTCCTTTGCAAATAATGACAATTTGCTGCATCAATCCAGAACAATGAAAAATGATGACGACAGACAGTCAAGTTCTAAAATTTGCGGGCGTTTTTTGTAATAATCAACGTTTTAAACACCGTCACGATTTTAGATGATGCGTCGGTCGATTTGCCTTTCAATCATCGTCCAGTAGAACGTTAGTTTTTGTGTCATAAAGAAATTCTGCGAATGGCGCTCCAGTTGTTACGAAAATTACAACGTAATATGGTAGCAAGAATGTTTTATAATGCTACCTGTCGAATTTGTTCGGGTAATTTGCTAACTTAATATTAACCCCGAAAAGAGTGGCATATTTTAAAACGCATTAAGTCGAAACCAAATCGTCCTGGTGCCCAAACATCCACGACGGAAAAAAATACAAAACGGAAATAGAAGGAGAAACCGTGGTGGAAGTACTTCTCGGCTTCGTAACGCCCATTCGAAGAAAAAGACAATTATTTATCAATTCCGACGCCGGTTGCTTGTCGATTTATTTTTTTAGTTTGTTTAGCAAAGCATTTCTCAAAGGTTTAGAAAGATTATAGGTAGGTAAAGTAAAGAATATTATGTCGATTTATTTTTTAATTTTGTTTAGCAAACATTTTTGGAAGGTTTGCAAAAATTATAGGTAAACAAAGGATCTATTATTGTCGATTTATTTTTCTAATTTGTTTAAAAAACCATTTTTCAAAGATTTACAAAAATCATAGGTAAAAAAGGATTTATTTTTTAATCAGTTTAGCAACACATTTTTCAAATGTTTAGAAAAATTACAGATAAGAAAAAGAATTTATTTTTGTCGATTTATTTTTTTAATTTGTTCCGCAAAACCAAAGGTTTTATAGGTAGGTAATGTAACATGGAATAATAAAACGCAAACGGCCTACTGTTAAAATACACTTTCAATGAACGCAGAAATTACATAAATTTATTACAACAATTTTTCAAACGGCAATCAATGCCATTATGTAACATTTAAATGGACAATAAAGAACAAGTGTAATTGCGGTAAGAAGACAGTTGGCCTTGTCTACACTATTGCAAATAATTAATTATTCAATTAGCAGATAAATTATCACTTGACTTACAATAAGGGCAATAACGTACCAAATAGACGCTCTACGGAGAGCCCACAAAGAAAAACACGTTATTAATTTGATAAAGCAATATTTTGTGTTCGCATATATGTCTTTACTATACCTACTTAAACTAAAACTCAAATTATTTGTTCGTTTTCGATCTCACGTAATAGAAGAACTTTTTTTGATATGATCAATGGTTTTGATCTTTTTAAGAAATTATTTAATAATATTACGTAACCATCAGATCAATTTTATTGTAATTAGATCGCATAGAGCGATTAATATCTAATTAGGAATTAGACCTTTTTTCTCTTTTTGATACGCTATCCTCATCAAATCCCGACCTAGCCGAGTTCGGATCCAATATAATTTAATCCTGCTCAGATTTACTGACAGGAAACCGTGTTTTCTACGTTCAGAACTCATTCATCATTTTGAAAACTATAATCACGATCATCTGCATAATTTGTATTTTCTTATAGCACAACGAAAGCTCTCGCAAGGTCAAAGCGCGGCTTCGTTGACCAGGTGTGTTGTGTATGTGTGTGTGTGTGTATGTGTGTAGATTCTTGTACAAAATGAAATTCACGGAGAGAATAAAGGTTTTGCTCGCTCTCTTAATTATTCATCCTTTGTTTTTATAATGCGGTAAGAAACAATTCTTGAAGCATGCATTTATCTAATTCAATGAAAACATGTAGTACTTAAGTGGAGTTCTGAACGACAAAACATATAGTTACACGT